TATCCTTACATGCGTCTGACATTGTCCTCACATCTTTGGCTAACTTTGGTTAACGAAATAAGACAAAAAAGTTGCCCAACAAGTTCAATATACTTATGCAAATATTGGTAATTTAATACATGTTCTTTTTTGTTGCACATCCAGAGACCGAAGTCCCAACAAGACGAACTTCGGTCTCTGGATGTGCAACAAAAAAGAACATGTATTAAATTACCAATATTTGCATAAGTATATTGAACTTGTTGGGCAACTTTTTTGTCTTATTTCATTCTCTTGAGTTGCCGGGTCCTTGTTGTTGTTTCCTCTGTTTTAACTTTGGTTAACAACAGACCTGATGTAATAGCTGATCAGGAGGCTACAAAGAACAGAGTCTCTTAAGAACTCGCTTCAAGACAGTGAAAGTGACCAGACTGGTTTCATCACTAACAGAAGTATGACAGACAACATACACAGGACACTAAACATAATATCATACTGTAAGCATCAAAAGCAAGAATCGATCATATTAACGGTGGATCTGGAAAAAGCCTTTGACAGTGTGGAGGTTAGTTACTTGCAGCAAGTGTTAATAAAGATGAACTTTGGTGTAAATTTTCAAAATGCAATACATGCATTATACTCTAACGCATCAGCCAGGATGTTTATAAACAGTGTGTTAAGCAGACTAATAGGAGGGGGACAAGACAGGGTTGCCCATTGTCACCTATTTTATTAGCGCTGGCAATAGAGCCTCTGGCAAACGCGATCAGACAGCATCTGGGTATTACTGGCGTACGAACAGGTCAACAAATGCACACTATCAGCCTTTATGCAGATGACCTCATAATTTACCTGACGAACCCCAAATCTTCACTGAGGTGCCTTCAAGACTTATTCCAAGAAATGCAACATCTGACAGGTTTGAAGGTGAACATGACCAAAATTAATCTTGTCCCTATTCTGTTATCGGAAAAAGCAAAAAAGGAATTACTAAAATCCCTGTTTGAGTGGGTGACAACACATTGGAGGTGTCTTGGGATCCAAATTCCAACGGACTTAAAAGATCTGATAAAGATCAATCACCGCTCCATCTTCAAGGATATAAGAAAGCAACTAAATGAATGGAAAGATACTGGTTTTGTATGGGCAGACAGGATCAGTATATTAAAGAGTTTCGTTTTACCAAAATTCCTGTTTTTGTTCCAGGCGATTCCAATCTCCATCCTGGGTGTGGAAATTAAAAAGTGGCAAAAGTCATTAAATGATTTCTTCTGGGTGTCATGCCTGTCTCCGACCCGGCACCTGGGAGCCTGGAAAATGAGGACTCTGCACCTTTAACAACCTCTGAAGCACAAGAGTCCTCATCAAACCTGAGTGCCGGGGAGGACGAACACCAAACTACAGGACAGCTGGCACCTGAAGCTGATCAGGCAATACCTGGCCCTAGCAGCTCGCCACCCGACTCGCTGCCACCTGTGGACCGGCTGAGAAACCGGAGATGCCGGGATCTGGCAATCAGGCACAAGGAGGCACGCTTGCGTGGATGAAGATAGTTAAGCCCTGATTACTGACAGAAGCAAGGACTTCGAAAAGGAATGTTAACAAGATAATGAGCCAGTACACTATTTGAAGAGACCGCTGGCTGCAAGCAAACTGTGCTGGCAACCTAGTCTGTGAACCAGACGCTTTGCACCTCTAGCTCTGTGTTGGCTCTTGACTGATCTCCAGGTTCCTGAATCCGGTCTGTGTTTTGGCAATCCCTCTGGCTCCTGACCCCCAGCTATGCTTCTTGACTATGATACTGGACTCTGACTATTGGTAATGTTTGACGACGGCTTGACTTTGTGTATTTGGAACTGTTTGCTTGGACTCTTGTTGCTCCCTCTGGCTGACTCTTGGACTTGCCTTTTGACTCTCCCTCTTTGCCCAGCCCCCTAGCTCTGTCGTGACACTGGGGCTACAAAAAGCCAAGGATAAAATTTAGCACTTTAACCCGAAAAACCAAAAATGGAGGCATAGATTTTTTAGATCTATGCAAATATTATGCGGCGGCTAATCTCACAAATATAGTACGAGTCTTGACTAGTGACACTAAAGTGAGCTGGGAATATATTCAGGAAACAGAGCTGCACCCGCTTTCCCTGTCAGAATTGTACTGGAGAGACTACAATAAAAGGCACACAATATATTCCTAAAATCAGCCTTGGAGATCTGGAGAACTTATAAACTAAGTCTTTTGCCAAAAATATCCCAACTTTCCACCTTTCTCAATCAAACGTGGTTCACTCCAGGTCAAGAAGAAAACTCTTTTCGGGCATGGAGAGACGCAGATGTAATAAGACTAGCTGATTTGACAAAGAAAGGAATCCCTCTGGCTAAACTGGAACTAGAAAACAAACTAAAAGGGAAAGTCTTCTGGTTCCAATATCTGCAAATACAAGATCTCTTGAATAAGCTTCAGAAAGGAGGGATGTTCTCTAGACTGCTAAACAACTTTGAGCAGATACTTAAAAACTCGAATGGAGAAATAAAGGGAATGATAGGCAAACTGTACAGACTCCTATTAAAGGGTGAAAAAACAACTACTCTCAAGTCTCAACAGCAATGGCATCTAGACTGTCAGAAGTCCTTCACGGAGGATCAATTGACTTCCATCTGGTCATCACCCAGTAACACTTCTAATATCTTTAGCATCAGGTTTACTTCTTTCAAAATACTAAATAGGTGGTACATGACCCCGGCAGTCCTACAAAAGATAAATCCTAAGATTTCAAACAAATGTTGGAAAAACTGTGGTGCTATTGCTGGCTTTGTCCACTGCTGGTGGTCCTGTTCACTAATAAAAGGCTACTGGATGCAGATAATACAACAAATTGCACTAATAGTTGATATTGTCTTACCCTGCATTTTAGAATCTATCTTTCTGGAGACATGGCGTACAACTGTAAGTAGAAAAACTTGGAAACGTTAGTATCGACCTTACTGATGTTCACAAAATTAACAATTGCACAAAAATGGAAGCAAAAAAATGTTCCGACAATAACGTGCTGGCAGAACAAAATCTGGGAATGCTTTATATATGGGCACACCTCTTATAACTCCTCAGCCGTGCAATCAGAGAAATACCAAAAATGCTTTCAGGCAGTATGGTTTCCTATTATTGACTATTTAGAAAATAGTGAAACAGTCCCAAAAAACCCGCTATACAAGAAGCTGTTGTTCTTTTAACTGTTTGGTAGTTTAGTGTGTACAAATGTTTGACTTTACTGTGATACTGTGGGAGTTATGTAAGAAAAGCTGTTTAATTGAGCCGGGAATTGCTCTTTGTGTCTAATTTTGTCGTGTTTACGCTGTTAAAAATTAATAAAAACAATTTTTTTAAAAAAAGACAGCGAAAGTGTGGAGAGAGTACAAGAGGGCAAGCAGGGCACAGGAAGGAAATCCACATAATCAGGGGTCATTTCCTGCAGGAGCGCACAGGAGCGGAGCTCCGGCAGTAAAGAGCCCAGGGGGCGGGCACATGCTACAAGCCCCACCCACTGCTCCCAGCAGCCCTCAGTCAGAGCAAGAAGCAGCCAGGTAAGTTTCAGAGCCCCCCCCCCCAGTCCAAAACAGTCCAGCAGCACCTTTAAGACCAAGTTTTATTCAGGTACAAGCTCTCCCTCCTCTGCGTGGACAGATCTGCACGTTCCCCCCCCCCCATAGCTAGCAATCCAAAACAGTCCAGTGGAGCCTGAGCAGTGGGTGTTGCCTTCTGACACACTTCCGGTGATGCCAGGGGGTGTGCCATATGCAAATAAGTTATGCTAATGAGTTATGCTAATGAGCTCCTGCACCTCTTTTTCTACGAAATGACCCCTGCACATAATGCCTTTTATTAGGACTGACCAAACTGACACAAAACATTGAGCTTTACAGCTTGCTAGAACTCTTCATCAGGATGGGAAAAAAGATAAACATCAAAAGCAGATTCATCAGGCCTTGATGTTAAGGTCTCGTCTTGTATACATCTGGGTGACGCTTAAAGGAATGACAGAAAACGGCTACAGGGGTGTGTTGGCTTCTTTTGAATTGTTATAGGAATGGAGTCACTTTAATGGAAAGGGGTTTCTTTTAATGGAATTTGTTTTAAATTTTACTGGAAAGCAAGGGGGATTGGTTGATTGCAAGTTGATTGGGGGTGGGGGTGTCTGCTTTCCAAATGACAGATTCTAATAGATGTTCCAGAGGGATTATATATCCATGCAACACAATCACTGCAACACAACTTAAATTACTACAGTGAATAAGCACATATATATATACCTGCAGTTATCTCTCTGGAAACCAATGGTCATTCAGTGCTACTTCTTTCAGCATCCCCCAACTTCTATCTTAAGGAAATCTATTCCAAAGGCAGTAGGAGAAGAGATAATCCCTGGGTTTGAAATATCAGTGAAACAGGAGTCCAGTGCAGTGTTCCCGCTAAGCTGAGTTAGTGTGAGCTAGCTCACAGTTTTTTAGCCTCCAGCTCACACATTTTTGTCTTAGCTCAGGAAGGATGGCTCCAGAGCCAACTAATTGATGCAGGTGCCAAATTGCTCGCTCACAACTTTAATGCCAGTCACTCACAAAGCAGAATTTTTGCTCACGAGACTCCACATCTTAGAGGGAACATTGGTCCAGTGGTACCTGAAAGACTCACAAAATTTATTCCCACCTGGTCTTTCATGAGTCAGGGCTCACTTCTCCAGATGCTCCATCTTTTCAATGAGTTCTGATTCCCCCTGTCCTATTGTCCCTGCTAAGAAATCTTCCTCTCTGTTGCTGAATCACAAGAAATCAAGCTGACTCCTGGCATCACTGCCCAAACAGATTCTGAGAACTGTTCACTAAGTTCTGCTTTCTGTGCCTGCTGTGGCTGGACCCTGAAAGCGGATGTGATTTCATCAGGCGTTGGAGGGTGTCGAATGTGGTGAGCTGTGCTACACAGATGCTTTGGAGAAGCTGGAGCCCTCAGCCAAGGTCCTCCTTATGGGGATCACAGCATGAGGAGGAAATGCAGCCCTGCTGCCCACGGAACCCCCCTCACCATGAGGGTCCCTTTCAGACTCCTCTTTGTCGGTTTGTATTCCGGAGGGAAGGAAAGTGGGACCTTACAGTGTTCAATGGCAGGGTGGGAGGATCAGAGAAGAAGGATCAGGTCCAGCTGTTCAGACCTATTGACATTAATGGAATCCTCTCCTTTCCAGGATGGTGGATGGCTGGGCAGAGCTGGACGGTGACAGGTGAGTAGCAGCAGACTGGAAGTGGGGTGGGGGGTGGGGTGGAAAGCCAGTCACTCAAATCTGCTTTCCTGACCCCTGCATGTCACATGTTCTAACAAACTATCCCTCTTCCATGCAACTGTTACAGGTCCAGAGAATGACCTTATCTGTAAGGTTGCCACCTCTTGGTTGGGAAATTCCTTGGGACAGTGGAATTTGGGGAGAGGAGGGACTTCAGGGAGGCATAATGCCACAGAGTCCATCCTCCAAAGCAGCCATTTTCTCCATGGGAACTAATATCTGTAGTCTGGAGAACAGTTGTCATTCTGGGAGATCTCTGGACTCCACACTGGTAATTCTATTCTTCAGTGTAAACTTGGAGCAGTCCAGCAGTGAGTCTGGGAAATAGCTTCTGGCCTCAGTCGTCTAGTCTCTCCCACAGGGCTGTGGCTTCTCATGCCGATGGTGGTTGGAAACGGAGAGAGTGTATTGCCAAAATAAGTGTGACTTAGCGGGAAGGGTCTGGCTAGTGCTGGTTTTGTAAGGTCGCCGACTTTTAAACGAGCTTTTGATTGCATCCTCCTCTGCAATAATTAGAACAGGATAAGGTCTACATAATTAACTGTGCTGTGGACCTCCTGCTAAGTCCTCAACACAAAGCCACTCAGAAAATAGCACTCTATCATCACCACCACCACCACCATCATCATCCTGCTGAGCTGGCTAGCTTACTTTCCAGGACTCTTTTTGTAGAAAAAGCCCAGTGGGAACTCATTAGCATAATAGGCCACACCCAACAGCAGGAACTCATTACCATAATAGGCCACATCCAACAGCAGAAACTCATTAGCATATTGGGCCACACCCCTGACAGCACAGCTCATTAGCACATTAGGCCGCACCCCCATGTTACCAGAACTGTGGTTATCCAGCCACACCTACCTTTCCCTTGTTATTCTGTTTACCTTGTTTGTTGTCAAAACCCAGTGCCTTTTTTTGTAGCAGGAACTCCTTTGCATGTTAGGCCACACACCCCTAATGTAGCCAACCCTAATACGTTTCTGCTGTTGGGTGTGGCCTATTATGCTAATGAGTTCCTGCTGGGCGTGGCCAACTTGGGAGCCAGCTGGAACTCCGTTCCTGTGCGTTCCTGCCCAAAAATAGCCCTGCTTTTGCCAAAGTCATTGTGCCAGAAGGAGCTGAAACAAAAAAAAAGGAGAGGCCAGGCCCTCTCAGAGGTCTTGACTGCCCTGAACCACTTCCAGCTTTTGAGGTCCCCAGACGTAATAAGAATTAAGAAATGACCACAAAGGATGAGCATAAGAATAAGTTGCAAAACAGCTGTCTAAATCTGAAGCCTCCTCTGAGCTAAAGGCCCAGAAGAAATTACAATCCAAAGGTGAGGCTGAATTTTGACAACCCCCCTTCCTCCATTGCAGTCCACACAGCTGCTAACAGATAGGAAGGGAGCCCTTTTCCTGGCAGCCAAGGGGGTGGAGCCCTTCTGCTCAGTTCCACATAGGGGCTCTAGGTAGAGATGTGAAGGCCCAGGGAGGAAAATGGACAAACTGGGGGGAACAATTTTTTTTTCTGGCGTGGTGGCTGTTGGTTTGGATCCAGCTAGCTTTTTTGCTGGTGAAAAAGGGGGAAGAAGTGGTCCACTTTGGCCACCCAAAAGCTATGCTGAGAATCATGGGACCTGCATGGTCAAAAGCTGTGTGGGACAAATTGAGTGAGACTGGATGAGAAAGTGCTCTGACACTATATCTGCAGTTGTTGTTTCATTAAAACTAAGGTCATTCTATTACATTTCATTAGAATACTTCAAAATAAAATGTTACACATTAACTAGAGCATGTTATGCCCTTAGAATAGTAAAGTTAAGATCTTATAAGGAAATGCATTGTTAATTGTTTACTTTTTCCTGTGTATAGTCCACCACCACCCATTCACTTGGAGTATTAGGGAGAGAAAAAAATCTTCCCATAGCTTCAAAGTTTCAAAAAAAAAATTATTTCTGTATTGATGCTGATGAGAGTAATCCTAAAAAGATCTACTAAAAATCCTGCTCAGGTCTATTCAAAGGGGCGGAGTCCCAGGAAAATGTTCTTAGGATCCTGCTCTAAATCTCTAGTCAGCAACTCCACCCACCCCAGAAATGAGCAGTGAGCTAATTAATATGTGCTTTGTTGGCTAATTGACTAACACAAAGAGAGGATGATCCTGCAGGTGTTCCCATCGTGATACGAACCTGGTCTTATGCAGTCCCCAACAGCACGCAAAAGTCTTCCATTGTGCAGCGTCTCCTCCTTCCAAATTTAATTCTTGTTCTCTTTCTCATCCAGGACAACAGTATTACCGCAAGCCTTCAGTCTCTGTGAGCCCAGAGGTGGTCACCCTGGGGGGAAATGTCACTATTCACTGTAGCGATGCAGGACACCCAGATGCAGAGTTCTCTCTACACAAGAAACATGCATATTTGACTCGTTTGCTTCCCCACATGGCAAAGGGTTATGACACCGAATTTATCATTTCCAATACCAGCATTTCAGATGCAGGGACCTACTGGTGTCGCTATTGCTTTAAATCCAACTCTCAGGAACGATGTTCATATTATAGTGACGAAGTACACATCAATATAATAGGTGAGAGCCAGCCACAGTCCTTGTGTGCCTATTTTTAAGAATTATACTAAAGTGGCTTTTGCATTTCTCACATCTGTTAAATCAAAAAGCTTCATGGGCTAAAATATATATTTACAGATGTTGGCTGTTTGTTTGTTAAGTTAATAGCCCTGAGTGCTATTGGTGTTTCATCAATGAGAGGCAATGATTAGGGGGTGGTGTCTTGATATGTGGGTGATATGAGGGCTCAACTAGACCAGACCAGAGAAATCTGCAATCAAGTCTCCATGTGTGTCACAGTAGCAATTTGAATTAGGAACCATGCAGAAACAGGAATTGAGTAGAACCTGCAACTAATGGTTGACCCTTACACAGGACACAGAGTAGGGACCTCAGAACCAACCCATGTACTGTATATCAGATCTTGAAACACAAGAGAGGGGGGAAATCAGCTGTAAGTACACAAGAAGGTACAGAGCCTGGGCCTGTTGGGGAAATCCAAGAATATACCAGGAAACATGTGGGTTTCCCAAATAGCATCCCTGGGGCAGTTTCAGTTTGGGGAAATGGTACAGGTGGAAAAGCTGAAGTCCCTTGTCCACATGCACCACAGTCTTGATCCAAGTGCACACAGGAACTGAGAGCCCACTACTCACACATGAGTGTTACGTCTGACACTGGCTGCAGATCCAGATCCAACCTGGGTACTCTGTAATGTATTCCCTGGAGACCTGAAATAGGGTAGTGGATCTCCTGTCAAGTGCCTGCTCGTGCCCACTGGCTCTGCTTGTACATTTTTAAATAAAGCAAATATTACAAAGACATTGTCAAACTCCTGTGCACTTTCTCATCCAAAGGAAATGATACCCACAGCCATACCTAGGTTTGAAAAGAGGATCTTTCTCACTTTCACATAAACATCATTAGAAACATTTGTCAGAGAGTCATTTCAGTCTAAAAGATTATGTTGTGGCTGTGTTCTGCATGATACATGAATTGAATCATAAGCTCTATGACCTCCTGGAATCATAAGCTTTATGACCTCCCACACCAGTTTGGTGTAGTGTTTAAGTGTGCGGACTGTAATCTGGGAGAACTGGGTTTGATTCCCCACTCCTCCACTTGCACCTGGCTGGATGACCTTGGGCAAGCCATAGTTCTGATAAGAGCTGTTCTTGAAAAAGAGCAGTTTCTGTCAAGAGCTCTCTCAGCCCCACCTACCACCCAGGGTGTCTGTTGTGGGGAGGAGAGGGGAAAGGAGTTTGTAAGCTGCTCTGAGACACCTTTGGGTAGTGAAGGGCGGGGTATAAATCCAATCTCTTCTTCTTCTTCTGGTTTTCACTGATATTTCTGATCCCTAGATCCCAGCATCCCCAAACCCTCCATCAAGGTGAAACCGGAGCACCAGAATGCTTTACACTCAAGTGTCACTATTGAATGCAAGGCCCAGGGAGATGGTCTGTATTTCTTCCTTCGTAATGCAAACACTGGGAAAATATCAATTGAAGCAGTACCACCTGCAGGCACAGCCAACTTTCATTTCCCCCAGGTGAGGAGCGAGGATGCTGGAAGCTACATCTGTCAATATCACCGTAGAAGCACTCCATTTGTCTGGTCATTGCCAAGTGACTCTGTGGAGTTCATTGTGAAAGGTAAGACAATGCATGGCATCCCCTCCCATGCCTTTCCCCCTTTCCCACCATGCATAAATGTAGCAGGAACTTTCCATGACTTTAGCTATCAGAACAGCTTCTTTAGGACCTCTGGGGCAGCTCTTTGTGGGGAATAGCAGAAACAACTGATCAGGAGCCACCAGAAAATGCTCAAGGAAAGCAGGATGGAGAAGAACAAAGAAAACTCCAACTGGGGATAGTAGGAATTGTAGTCCTGCATTTACAAATCCCTTTGAGACCATTAAGTATGGAATCCTTTGGTAATACTTTTTGACAATATCCATAGCAGCACAAGACCTGGTTCTTATCGCTGTTCCCCAAGGCCACATCCAGAAACCTTGGCATCTAGCTAGCAGCTGGCAGATGCCTTGGAGCACCATCCTTTTGGCCCCCAGATACAATCTCAGAAACACCGGCTGGATGTCGAGGTCTGCACATATGTCCCAGGGCAAGGTAAATGACAGAGAAGAGAAAGATGGACCACACTAAGCACAAACCTCGTCTTTCTGTGCAGAAGGAGACAATCCTGTCCCAAAGCCCCAGTCTTCTCCAAGAGCTTTTTCAAAGCAGACTCCCATGGAAGTGTTGCCAGTACACTAAAGGCACTAAGGTTCTCTGACTTGTGTGGCTAGCCAATAAACCACACAGTGAAAACAATCATCCAGGTCGTAAAGAGTAATAAAAAGTATTTATTTGAATAAGGAACGCCCCACAGCTTAATTCAGCCTGGGTGTTCAACAAGCAAATGCAATGAGCAGACTTATATACTTTTTTTGCTCCTCCTCACTTTACATCATCATGGACATCATGTAGACATGCTCAGTTCAGTTTTCTTTGTCTGGTCAGTCATCAATCACATATTTGACACACAGGATGCTAGTTGGCTGAGGTTTCCACTCCTACAATACAGGTGCAGCTCATTATTTCTAATTTACAGCTTTGTTTACTCCTTTGGCACTACTCCCAGACTTCTGTTACCTCTGACTGAACTCTCAGATTCAGTTCATTCTTAATACTACATTCTGTCAGTTCAGTTACAAAATTCTACAAACTTAGTTCTTCTTTACACTTAATACATGTATATAAAAGTATCCTAAAGCATTTTTATAAACTTATTTTCACTTACAGGTACACAAAATATGAAAAAATATAAGCACAATGACATTCTAAAGCATTAAACTCTTTACATTAATTCTTTTAGTGTTTCAAAATACCTTGTAGTATTAAGCTCTTACAGATGTATTGGTTTACACATTATTATTCATTTTGGTTCATCAGGAAATTTTACAGAATTATTTTTGATTATTTATGAAGCTGCTTCTGGTAAAATTGAAGTAAAACACATAGCTCAGTTTAGCCTGTAGGAGACACTGTTCTACAATACAAATAATTGACCCTTTCCCCCTTAAACCAAGGTACATAATCACTAAGATTATTGTATTGTTTCTTGTTATTGGTGTAGCATGTATTATAAAAATTGTATTTTTGTACACTACAGAATATCTCCTGAAGAAGATCAATTTTTTGAAACGTTATATAATCTGGAGACGACGTTGATTATGTACCTTGGTTTAAGGATTTTCTTATGATTTGTTTATCATGTTGTAGGGCTTCAGATTGCAATACGTAGATAGCATTCTTTATAAGTCTTGACTGTTTGATTTGTGGGTCAGACTATCACGACTGTTGGCTTTATACTTGTTTACAGATTTGAATCCTCCAGTCTGGTATACCACAACTACTTCAGAACAGGGGATGTATTTTTAAACAGTGCACAAAGCCAGCTGTTTCCCTACTACAATGACTCACAAATCTGTCTCAAAAAGCCTGACAGATGTTGAAGCGGACCTATGCAAATAAGGCAACCAGGGATGCATCTGGGTTGGTGGGGGTCGGTTCCAAATAACTGTTTCATCTGGAATCACCATAATTTGTTCATGCTGCTTTCACGGATTATCACCATGATATCATACTCAACCTGTTACACTCCAACATTTTCTGCCATTCCCCCATCATCTTTCACACTTTATCTGTGGTGATTTTAAAAAAAATAATGTAATTGCAGAGGTATGTGCAGACAGCCAAATAGTTATTGAGGCTTCTCAGGGCTAATGCCCTGTTGAATACTCTTGCCCTTGTTTTTGAAACATTCCAGTTCTGTCCACATTTTTGAAGAGATCTATCCCCTTGAGTGGTTGTAGTTACTTCTTTTTTCTTTGCTGTAAATGCAATTGTTCATTAATTTGTCAATTTATCATAATCACACAGTTCTGACATTAGTATCATGAAAAATGTAAGAAACAAGTGTGCTTTGTGATCAAGACAAATGCAGTATTAAAGCTCTCCTCCAAGAAGAGACTGATTAGGAATACTTTCAAGGATTTTGGACCATAGAAGTGACCAGGAAGCAGCTAATCAAACACAATAGAATAGCATGTCAAACTCATTTGTTACAAGGGCTGGATCTGACATAAATGTGACTTTGTCGGGCTGGGCCATGTGTGCCATAAAACATAATGATAGGAACTGGATATATAAACTTCATAAAGGGTATCTGGTAAGCTCTGAGCTGGTATATCCTCACTGCAAGGTCCCATGGGCTGGGAGGGGGAGCAGAGAAAAACCCACATGAGTGGACTGGAGAGCCAGGGGTACAGCACTGGGCAGATGCTCCCATGCTGCTTCACAGCTGCAGAAGAGGTTGTTCTGCCATGCTGAAGCCCCAAACACTCTCCTGTTCTCTTCCTTGTACTAGTTGCTCACAGGCCGCATAACAGCCCTGGACGGGCCGGTTCCAGCCCCCGAGCCTTATGTTTGACACCCCTAACTTAGATGAACACCTCATGGTAGTTTTTTTTAAAGAAACTTCAAAGCAGCTTCCAGTTGTCTCTGGTGTTTAATTCGTTACTTCCTGTTTACTCATAGAGACTAGAACCTTTCCTTATCAGTTCCTTCTCTTTGGGGATATTATCAGGAGCAGGAGGATTTAATTACTGGATTTCTCTTGATTGCAAATTATAGTCATTAATGGCCTCTGCCACACGGGGGGGGGGGAAGCACGGGCAAAGTGCGGCTATTTAAAGCCACACCAAAAGAGACACGCGGCGGCGGGATCACATAGATCCCCTGAGCCGCTGCGCACTTCCTCCCTGGCACAATCAGATGCCGGTGGGAAGCCACTGAAAGGGGAGCGAGGCAGCCGAACTGCGTATGTGTGCACATGCGCAGTTCAGCCAGGAGCCTGGATTGCTCTGGACGACGGGTGCGGCGGCGATCCCACGGCCGCGCTTGATGCGGCGTTCCCGGTAAGTCCTCCTCTGGGGGTGGTTCTTTTTTACTGCAGGTTTTCGGCCTGAAGGGCCGGATCGGGGACGGGTGGGATCTTGCCCTTGGAGTTAGGCACTGCCAGATGGTTATGGAGAAGCTAGCATTATTTTAACAGTTGCGTGGAGTCTCTATTTGAATTTTGCTTGTAGTTTAATGAGGAAAGGGAAATTGCAGTATGGAACCCAACAGGGACTACATTTTCTCCAGCTGACCAGTAGATGGCAAAGCCCAACAGAAATGCACCCATCCAGAGTCATGATGAGCCCAGGAGTGGAATAACCAGGATTTTGTGCAGCCTGGATTAGAAAAGCAAACAATATCACCAAATCCCCAAATTCTGCACTAATACAAGCTGAGTTCTGCAATACAAATTGATACTCGGTGGTGGAAAATGCTGTAAAGCAGGGGTCATTTAGTAGAAAAAGAGGTGCAGGAGCTCATTAGCATAACTCATTAGCATAACTTATATGCATATGCCACACACCCTGACATCATCGGAAGTGTGTCAGAAGGCAACACCCACCACTCAAGCTCCACTGGACTCTTTTGGATTGCTAGCTATTGGGGGCAGCTGATGGGGGGGGGGGGGAACGTGCAGATCTGTCCTAGCAGAGGAGGGAGAGCTTGTACCTGAATAAAACTTGGTCTTAAAGGTGCCACTGGACTGTTTAGGACTGAGGGCTGAGGGGAGCTCTGCAACTTACCTGGCTGCTTCTTGCTCTGACTGAGAGCTGCTGGGAGCCGGGGGTGGGGCTTGTTGCATGTGCCCGCCCCCTGGGCTCCTTACTGCCGGAGCTCCGCTCCTGTGCGCTCCTGCAGGAAATGTTCCCTGCTGTCAAGTCACTGCCAACTTAAGGTGATCCCTTAGGGTTTTCAAGGCAAGAGATGAACAGAGATGGTTTGCCATTTCCTGGCTCTGTGTAGCAACCTGTGATTTCTTTGGCTGTCTCCCATCCAAGTACTGACCAGGACTGATCCTGCTTAGCTTCCGAGATCTGATGAGATCAGGTTAGCCTTGGCCATCTAGATCATGATGATACTTGGGGAGGAGTGAAAAGAAAATTAGGACACTGGACCATGGGAAATATGGTTCAGCCCTTATACCCTCGCTATCGGTTCTGAAATGTTACTTGGCACTGCTCATAGATTCAGTCTCATCTTTGCAGCCTTAAAGACTAGAAACACCCTTTAAAAATAAAGAAACTGAGGATGTTCAGGACTCCAGGCCTATCAGGCACTGTCTTACACAATGCTGTCACAGAAAGCACTAGTCCTGGAGATGTACATACAAGAATCTACCAAGAAGCAAATAAGTCTTGTGGTGCATTCAATGTGACCAAAATATGTATGTGAACTCACTCTTTGAATCACCACGTGAAGCTTTCATCCTGGGCTAGGATCCTAATCCTTCAATTGTAATTGGTAGCCCAGGAAGAGCCGACCAATCACCAACAGCCAGTTCCAAGAGCGGGAACTATTGTGATTGGACTTTACCCCTGCAACCTCATAGGTTGGTATTTGTATAGTAGGCGTGGCTACATTAGCCGGGAGAGTTTAAAAGCAGAACAGCTTCGATGCAAAAGCTGTTCTGGCTATTCATGTTGATCTGTTTGGAGTTGAGTTACGAGTTGCTGAATAAAGCTGATCTTTTGCTGAAATCACTCTCTGACTCTTTGTTAAGTAACTGACTTAACAAGTCTACTGAGGCAGCGAGAATCAGCAAACTCCAGAGTTTCTATGCAATACCACCCTTCACTGTTTTTTCTTAAATCTAGATCCCAGTCTCTCCAAACCCTCCATCAAAGTGAGGCCTGAGGGCCAGCATGAAGTAGGCATGGAAGTCACCATTGAGTGCAAAGGGCAAGAGAATGGCCTGACCTTCTCCTTGCACAAATCAAATAACCTCTCAGCGCTACAGACAACGAAGGCAGAGGGCAACATGGCAAATTTCTCTTTATCTCCTCTGAGACCAGAAGATGAAGGGAATTACACTTGTCAGTATTACCATAGAGGAAATCTCTTTGTTTATTCAGAGCCAAGTGATCCTGTACAAGTTGTTGTGACTGGTAAGAAGCTTGGTTAAGCATTTTCCCCATTTTCCTATTTTCTCTCTGCAGGAGGCAGAAGCTTTTGAGACTGTGGATGCTCACTCCAAACTCCCTCATGGAGCCACAGAGCTGTTGGGAAAGCAAAGATGATCCTACACAATGGATTCCCTAAATCTGCTATCCCCTGGCACTACTTAAAGCTTTGTGACAAGAACTAGGGAATTATGGGATGGGCTGTAGCTCGGCAGCTCCCCATGGTCTTTACAGGAAGGGTCTCAGTAGGGTTGTAAATTACCCCTCTTGAGACCTTGAAGTGACAATGTTAGACAATGGACAATACTGAGCTAGAGCCAATGATGTGACTCAGTATAAGGCTGTGGTACTCACTCTGTGGCTCACAGAGACCCACATTTGCAATTACCTTCGGTTGAAACAGCCACATTTACTTCCATCCCTGGCATGGTGCCTGCAACTCAGGGAGGCTCACAGCCCGCCCACCCCCCAATCCTCCAGCAGCGGCTGTTACAAGGTGGGAACCACCTGCCAACCACAAGCTCTACAAGGCAAGGGCCATGCCCACTTTCCTAATGAATGTGGCAGGTGCTACATTGGTAATGGTGCTCAGAAGAACCACAGGAAGCCACTGAGTGGGTATCACTGGTATACAGCAAGTGGATGAATATCAAGGGTCCCCTTCACACACATACAGTAGCAGAATATGAACCACACCTCTGTGGCGCAGTGGGGGAGTCTACATTGCTTTGGTTTGACTGTATCCTGTAATTTTTAGCATTCTGTTAGCCCTCTTGAATTCCTGGAGACAGGGCTATATTTGGGCAGGAACGCACAGGAAAGGAGTTCCGGCTGGCTCCCGAGTTGGCCACGCCCAGCAGGAACTCATTAGCATAACAGGCCACACCCGACAGCAGGAACTCATTAGGATTGACTACGTTAGGGGTGTGTGGCTTAACATGCAAAGGAGTTCCTGCTACAAAAAAGCCCTGGTTTGACAATAAACAGGGTAAACAGAATAAGAAGCAAAAGGTGGGTGTGGCTGGATGACCACACTTCTGGTAACATGGGGGTGCGGCCTAATATGCTAATGAGATGTGGCATCAGGGGGTGTGGCCTAATATGCTAATGAGTTTCTGCTGTTGGGTGTGGCCTATTATGCTAATGAGTTCCTGCTGGGCTTTTTCTACTCCTGTAATAATCATTTCAGTAATTAATGTTTTGTACAACATCTTGAGATAAAAAATTGTGAGTGCTTCTTTACCACAGTTGTATGATTTGTGTATTGTAAGTTCTCTGGACTGTGACCATCTTATTGTTTGCCACTTTATGCAGTGGGGGAATCTACATTGCTTTGGTTTGATTGTATTCTGCACATTTTAGCATTCTGTTAGCCCTCTTGCATTCCTGGAGAAAGCCAAACTGTAAACAAAATAAATAGGATGGTTGCAAATGTGGAGATCACATGGGTGGGGCCTATCACATGACCTTTCCCAACTAATGGCTGCCCCAGCCCCTTCCTTCTGGCAGCAAGTCAATCAGACAGGAAAGGCCCTTTCAATTGTCCTTCCTTATGTTCTTGCATCATTCACACAGACTCCTCAGTGTTATGGGGACCACACCACAGGGAATCGGGGTATGGGGACCATACCACAGGGAATTGGCTCCCACACCTGTGCCTGTATACATTTGGAAAGGTAGGGAAAAGCCTTTTATGGAGGAAGTCACTGTGACAAAAAGGAGGGATCGTGGATGGATGGGAAGCAGCAGGAAAGACACTAGAAGGTTATGCAGAGGGTAGATTGATTTCATCCTTGGTGTTTTTAGCATTGGCTGTGGGTAGAAGACAAAGTTAGCTGTGCTCTGACTGAAGATCTTTACAATCTTACAGATTTGTTTCCAAAAAAACTCATGACCATCATATGGGCGAGTGTTGTGGCGGGACTTCTCTTGGTTCTCCTCTTGCTGGTGCTTATCTTGGTATTATGCAAAAAAAGGACAAAACGTAAGTCGTCAATGGCTGAGATTTAAGCCTGTGTGACAAAGATGATACAGTCTGTGCATGAGGGCTGTCCCACCCAGCGTTTCACACAGATAGGTGCTTGTGTAAAAGAGCTCTCAGGTGCAAGATGAATCTCTCCATGGTTGCGGGAGGAGGGAAGTTGGGAGTAGGAAATTCAGTAGTTATGGAATGGGCATGTTGGGGGCATTTTTGCCTCAGGCTGACTTGCCTGTCGGATGTGATGTTTGTGGACATCATAACCTGCAGAGATAGGCTGGTAGGTAGTGTGAGAGAGAAGCCAATGATTGTGGCAGATGTGTTTGGGAAACGTCAGCTGAAATATGGATGAAGAAGGAGCCTGAGGAGAATTTGCAGTGGTTAATTGGTGGAGTTGAGTTCCTTTCCATATTTCCCCTTCCTATGTCTAAAAGCAAAATTATAGCAATAGGTATGTACAAACTAATTTCATGTATGTAGCTAAAAGAAATACAGAGTAGAACTCAGGCTACCTTGAACGTGTTTCTAATGCAGATTATGTAGTGCTTGACAGTATTAAGATTCCTCCATTTGGACAAGGCTCTTGAGAGCCATAGAATATAGGGAGTGTTGGAGATGAGTCTACAATTTTAATCTACAACAGATTGGCTAAAAAAAAACCCCACCTTATGAGGTATCTCTGATCTACAGGCTCCACAGTCAAGGAAGGAAATCAACCAGTGAACAAAGTAAGAGAGTTTTCTGTTTTTTATATATATACATATAAAACCTCTGGCCAACAATCTGTTTTAATGTATTGACTGTTTGGTGCCTTGGGGACCCTAAATGGAAAAGCAGCATAAAAATGTATTCAATAAATATCCTCAGATCTTGACTGTTGACCATGGCCCAAAGTAAGCCTTCTGTTTACCTGCTGGCAGCAGGGCACCACCTGATTTGACAGAGGGAAGAAAGAGGAAGAGCTGGCACCACATGCACCTCATGTCCAGTTTTTGGCTAGAAACCATGTTATGGAGTTGAGCCACACCATTCCCACTTCTCTGCCCCCCGCCCCGGGGAGGCCCACCTGTCACCCTAGGAGTGGCAACCCTAAGGTCACCTAGAGACCTTCATGTCAAAGTGGAGATTGAATCCCATCTCGCCAGTCTTGTGCTATTTCCATATGGGTTGTTTGCCCTGGGTTCGATGCTGTTGGAAAACAGGGGTTTCCCCCCTAATTCCCTATAGTATTGTTGTTCATTTGTGCACCTCAGGGCTTTCCCCCAGCTTTTCTCTGAGCTTTCCTAAACCTGCTTTGCTCAGAAGTCCTGCTTTGCTGGACGGCTGCCATGTCAGATTCTCCTGGTTCCTCTCACGTGGCAGCCATTTTCCCTGCCCTGGTCACAGCCATTTCTTCCCTGCACCACCAGGTGTGGGTTTTTTTAAATTGGCAGTTGAAGATCATTATCTTGTATGAGTTTCTCTGTGTATGAGTTTCTCTGGATTCCCAGCTGTCATTAACAAAAAGAAAAGAAAGGAAGTCTCTAGCCTCTTTTGTTATGGAGACATAAGAGGAAAGGCATCTATCCACAACAAAAGGCCATAGACTCTAGACCGTTTTTGTCATGGAGATATGTTTTCCCTCTTATGTTTCCACAACAAAAGGGGCTAGAAATTACCTTCTTATATATGAAAGCTGGGCAGACAGACACAGAATGTTTACTGTAATTATATAATTACATTCAATTTCTGATTTAAACAAACACTGAAAAAGCCCTGTTAGCATGAAGGGGGAATGGTTGCTGCTGATGGTCTGGGACAAGGAAACTATGGGGAAATCTGCCACATGGAAGCCCCATTGCTGCTGCGTTGTATCGGCTGCCTCAGAAGCAAGGGAGGAACCAGAGAAG